GACGCGGCACCGCATTGCTGTTGTTCGACTGGTTGAACGAGATCGACACCGAGTACGCGGTGCCGTCCGGCCCGAACGAGACCCACGGATCGGACGCGCGCTCGTACTTGAGCCCGCCCGGCGCGCATGCGCTGAACGGCTGCGGCGTGCGTGCCCAGGTCGCGCCGCCGTCGAACGTGTAGCCGGCGACGAGCCCGTGGGCGCCGCCGTTCGACCAGCGGTCCTGCTGCCACACGCCGATCATGTTCATCGGGTTTGCAGGGTTGACCGATAGCCACGGCTCGACTTCGGCGTTCACGTAGTTGGTGCCGGGGCCGCCGATGGTGCAGGCGACGAACGGGCTCGGGCCGGACACGACGACGGGATCGGCGTGCGCCGCGGCAGCGGCGGCCATCGCCATCGCGGCGGACAGGCGGGTGACAAGCGAGTGGGACACGATCATGCGTCGCATGGACTGCTCCTCGTTGACGTGCGGGTGCGATGGGGCGGCACGACGCGGCAGCGCGATCCGGCGCGCGGCGTCGTATGCCGCGCATCGGGCCGATACGTGTCGTTCAGGATGCCGCTTCGGTCATCGCAATCCGCGTGCGCTGGACGCCGCCAGCACTTCGGTTAAGACTCCTTTTCATTTTCATTGATTGTCGGGCGTGACTGCGATGTCGGCCGGACGGGAAGCCTTGCCCGGGCAGGCGACGAATGTGTCGAGGTGGATTGCAATGTAGGCGATTCGAATGCCGCCCGGCAGGCAGTTTTTTGTAACAGTGCGTAGCCGGAAAGCGTTGCCGGAAGAGGGCGGCGGACGCGCAAAAAATGCCGTCGAGACGGCATGAAAATCGAATCGAAAATGCGAATCGGAATCGCTTTCGATGGGGCCGTTGAGCGCCGGCGGCGATGCGGGATCGTGCTGCTCAGCGCTCCGCCGGAAACCGCTCCTGCAGCGCATGCAGCCATCGCGCGACGACATCGAGTTCGTCGTCGGAGAACCCGTCGCACAGCTTGCCGTTGAGTTCGCGCAGCAGCACGCGCGCACGCTTGAGCGCGGCGTGGCCTTCATCGGTGAGGTACAACCGCGTCGCGCGGCCATCGTCCGAATCGGCGTGGCGCGCGATCAGGCCGGCTTTCGCCATCCGGTCGGCGAGCCCCGTCATCGCGGACGGCGCAAGCTGCAGCG